GCAGCCAGCCATGGGCGCTCGCAGCATGCATGGCAGAGAACCGAGTATCTCGGCTGCAACAAAAGGAGAACATTCCAGTGTTGTGCAGGCAAAGTACAAGGCTTGTATTTCTACATGTACACAAAATAGTTATGCTCTCCCCAGTAGAGGAAGTTTAAAAAGTGGAGGGAGGGGCTGGAGAAATGGCTAGGTTATGGCTAGGTTATCAAAGAGAGTGGAAAGATTCTTTGAAAAGAAAAAAAAGATAAAAAAAAAAGAACATGAAGAAGCAGAAGGGAACCCTAACCTGCCCCAGGAAAGTGGAGGAATGTGAAAAGGAGAAAGAAGGGAAGAAGAAGGAGCAAGGTATTTTTGGAGCTATGGAAGAGGTAGGAAGGCTCTCTGTATCTTTTTCTGAGAAGGTAACATCTGGTGCTCCAAGGAATAAAGCACCATTGTGTGACAGGTCATAGGATAATAGATTTAGAACTGGAAGGGACCTTTGAAGTCATCAAGTTCAATCCCCTCATTGGAAACTGAGGCTCAAGGGAGTGACTTGTCCAAGGTCATATGACCAGTAAGTGACAGGTAGGATCTGAACCTATGTCCTCTGATGGCAAAGCCTGGGATTCTTCACTGTAACACCCTGCCTCCAGTAAGGAATGGTCAGAAGGAGAGGCAAGCAGTGGTAGCTGGTAACTCTCTGTTTAGGGATACTGTTACACAACCCGAACCATACTTTGAAGAGGTGTCTTCAAAGATGGAGGCAGCTAGATGGTGCAGTGAATAGAGCTGTGCCGTGAGTCGGAAAGACCTGAGTTCAGATATGACATACGCTTATTAGCTGTCTGAGACTGGGCAAGTCACGTCACTTGACTGCCTCAGTTTCTCCATCTGTAAGAGGGGATAATAATAACATCCACCTCCCAGGGTTGTTGAGGAAGGAGGGTGTCAAGTGAGATAGTATTTGGATAACCCTTACCACAGTGCCTGGTATGTTGTAGGGTGTTATATAAATTTTACTTATTATTATTATTGCAGGTAGATGGTGCAATAGATAGAGCACTGGGACTGGAGTCAGGGACACCTGAGTTTAAATTTGGCCTCAGAAACTAGCTGTGTGACCCTAGGCAAGTCACTTAACCTCTATGTGCCTTAATCCACTGGAGAAGGAAATGGTGTACGCTCTCTTCCTAGAGCACAGATCTGGGATCGACAGAGTCTCCCAACATTTGTCAGCTCTGATAATTACTACCTACTGTTGTGTGATTCATGGTATCAGTGATTCCTCCAGAAGGAATTTAGACAGCATTGCCAGGGAATGTGAAGTCTTTAGCAAAAAACTAAAGGCAATTTTCCAAAATCTCGGGCCTGCCCCTCTTGGAGGATAGGGGAGATCTGGCGAGACCCTCGGGGGGGGAGGGTAAGTGAAGATGTTGCATATTTTTGAGCATAACTTCCTCATAAATAGAGACAGGGGCTGGCCCTGTGATTTCATTAGAATAGGTGATATTAGCTGTATTTCAACAGAATTTTAGAGCTGGAAGGGACCTTAATGATTAGCTAGTACCAGACCCTCAGTGTCAATGTTACACATTCAGTTAGTACTAGAAGAAGAGAAGAAACTCATTTTCAGGTTCCTTTCACCTGTTTTTAGGTCGGGTGTTTTGTGTTGAGGAAAAAAGAGCTCAAAGTTTACAAAAAGAGGAATCAACATGAAAAACATACTTGATGCGCAGTCAGGTGACCTGGGTTTGCGTGTTGCCTCTGCTGCTTCATAGACGTGTGTGTAACATAGTCACAACCTCTCTGAACCCAACTTTCTTCAGGGGACAATAATGCCTACTGGGGTACCGGGGGGAGTTGTGATTTCACTGACATAGGGAGCTCCTAGTGAGGAATTTCTTTTTTTTTTCCCTCTTGTCTAGGCAATGGGGTTAAGTGACTTGCCCAAGGTCACACAGCTAGTAAGTGTTAAGTATCTGAGGCCAAATTTGAACTCAAGTCCTCCGGACTCCAGGGCCAGTGCTCTATCTACTGCGCCACCTAGCTGCCCCAGGAATTTCTTTTATCAATGCAGCTTAGCCTTTGAATGTTGCCTGAGGATGGCACATTAGATGACTTCTCCAGTGTCACACAGCTAGCATGTATAAGAACTTGAACTCAGCTTCTCCTGACTTTGAATTAGGTTCCCAATCCCCTGCGACCTGCTGCCTCTCACAGCGTTGTCATACAGGATCAAATGAGAATTTGTTTAGCACTTTGTAACAGTAACAACACACTCTACCTCCTCACTCCAAGCATTTTCACTGGCTGTTCCCCATGGCTGGAATTCTTTCCTTCCTTTCTCATTTCTACTTCCTCAGCACATAGTAGGCATTTAATAAATGGTTTGCTGACTGACTATAAGTATGAACTATTATTTTTATGCCAGTAAATCACTGAGGCATGAAGGTGACCCTGGGTTCTAAAAGATGAAACAATGGAAATACAAGCTCTGGAAGTTCCTACAAATAAAAAGACTTCAGGAAAATACTGCACATAGGAATAGACAGCCTAGCCAAGCACATAGAGGCTCATTCCTACGAGGCTGGCCATCAGATGTGGATGGGTTGTGAGCTGGAATAGGCATCAGGAGAGGGAGTACCCATGTTAATGAAGCCACCAATCTTTATGTTAAAGAAGTATGTCACTGTCTCTGCCACTATTGCTATTAGAAATAACCCATATGGGGCAGTGGATAGAGTTGAAATGAAATCAGAAGGACCCAGGCTCATGTCTTGCTTCTGACACATAATGGTTGTATTACCCTGGACCATTAAACTCTCAGTAATCCCAGAAAACTCTAGAACTAAATTTGTAGAGAAAATGCCAATCTTCATGGTAGAGGGAGTTTTCTCACCAGGAAATTCTCAAAACCAACAAAAATTTGGTCACCCACCTACCCAAAAAGCTATAGGTAGGGAATGCAGAGGATTTGTCGCTAAATCCAGTGACATTAGAGTTCAAGTTCACTACTGGAAAATTAGAAGTATCAATGTTAGGTCAAGTAAAAGAAGGCACAATGAAACCTTGGTTGTCTGGAGCTCTTGGGCAATGCTTTGGATTGGTTTCCTCCTAACTTTTCTGTGACTGTAGAAGGCACTACCATCCTCTCCGTCACCCAGTTTCATACTTAAATGTCATTCTCAACTCCTTCCCCCCTCATATCCAATCAGTGACCCAGTCCTGTCTATTCACCTTCTTATTTCATATACTCCCCATTCTCTTCTCTTACACTGCCACTTCCCTGGGGCAGGCCCTTATCACTTCAAGCCTGGACTATTCTAATAACCTTCTTGCTGGTTTCCTTGCCTCAAGCCTTCCCACTCCGTTACATTCTCCCTCTGTCAAATTGATCTTAAATTTCAGGTCTACCCAAGCCAGCCCCCTATTCAACCACCTCAGGTCTCCCTGATAAGCCTAGGATCAAATTTAAAGTCCCATTTTGCTTTTATAGTCTTTATAACTTGGTCCCCTCCTACTGTTCTAGTCTTCTTATATCTCATCCCCCTGCTTATACTCTGAGATCCAGTCACACTGGCCTCCTTGTTTATTATTCCTTGAACAAGTTGCTCCATCGCCTGACTCTGGGCATTTTCATTGACTGTCCCCCATGCCTCTAATTCTCTCCCTCTTCATCTCTTCCTCCTGGCTTCTCTGACTTCCTTTAACTCCTAACTAAAATTCTACCCCCTACAAGAAACCTTTCTTGATCCTCCTTAATGCTAGTGCCTTCCTTCTATTTATTATCTCCAATTTATCCTGTACACAAATTGTTTGTACACAGTTGTTTGCATGTTGTCTTCCCCATTAGACTGTGCTCCCCATGACAGCAGGGACTGTGTAGCTTTTCTTGGTATACCTAGCACTTAGCTCAGTGTCTGACACAACAGTAAGGTCTTAGTAGATGCTTGTTGACTTTCTAGTCTCATCTTTGTCATTAACTTGCTGTGTGACCCGAGTCAAGTCACCTATCTGGATTATTTTTTCTTCATCGGTTAAACAAGAATTATCACACATGCTCCACCTACTTTGCAGGAGGCTTGGGAGTATATGTTTAAATACTAGATGTAAAACAAATAAAGATAAAATCTCTAAGCTGGAAAAGGTTGTAAAAAGCAGAATGTTAGAACATTACAGCTAGAAGGAATGCTAGAACGTAGGATATCAGAACATGGAACATCAGAGCATTGAAATGGACTCCAGAGATTATATGGTAATTTTACCGATGGGGAAACTAAGGCTTAGAGGAGTTAAGTGATGCCCAAGGTCACACAGTGAGTGAATGGCAAAGCCAAAGCTAGAACACAGCTAACTCCAAGTTCAGTGCTCTTTTCAATACACCATGCTACCTAGCTTAGGCACATGAAATAATTATTCAGCTAAATGTTTTCAGGATGCCTTTTTGGTATTTCCCACAAATCACGGTGATTTTCTTTTCCCCTGGGGGACTGTCCAAGCAAATTCACATTACTGAAGATCTGGCCTTGTAGATACTCAACTGTCCTGGGCTGGATCTGACTGGGTTGGGTCTCTAATCATAGGCTCATAGAATTTACAACTGAGAGGAACCTTAAAGGTCTAAACTAGTTCAGTCCCTTAATTTTCCAATTGCATTATATATGGGGAAAATTGAGGTCAAGTGACTTTCCTTATAGGTGCAAAGGGCTGAGATTTTAACCTAGGTTTTATAACTCTTAATCCAGTGACTTTCCACTCTACCACCCTGAATTCCTCAGTCGCCTTCCTGGGTATGTGATGCTGCCTCTCCCTTGAGGAAGTGGCCACAATGGAGCCCAGATGCAGCGAGACCTGAAGGCTGAGGGAGCCCTGCAGAAATAGCGGGCACTTTTGAGCAGCTGCGCAAAGCAAAGGAAGGAGGATGGATTGGGGCTGGAGGTTGGGGGAAGAAGGGCGGGACTATTTACCTTGACTTCATTTCCGGGGGGCTGGGAGCAGTATATAAGAGGAGGTGTGAGGAAGCTGCTGCAGCAGAGCTCCAGTTGGAGTGCTCAAAGACTGCAGGCTGACGGAAAAAGGCAAAGAGGCAAGCTAAGGCGTTGCCATCCCTCCCACACACACACACACACACCGTGCTCTGGCAGGCTCTTTGCCCCCTGCCACCTCTTTTCTGTGAGAGCCAGGCAGGTTCCTCTCTCCCAGTTGTGCAAAGCAGCTCAGAAATAGCAATAAATCTGTCTTCTTTTCCACCTCACTCCCCCTACTCAGCCTGCCCAGGGTCTTCTGAACCCCTAGCACCTACCACTCCTGGGTCCCCAGGTCAACTCCAGGCTGAGTTTGTGATCCAGGATTCACCATGAGCTTTCCCGCCTTCTTTGTCCTGCTGGTCTCGGCTATGCAAGGTAAGTAATGAGATGGGACTGGGAGAGGACAAGATATGGGGGTAAGGGGGGAGAGAGGAGAGGTTCAGAAGTCCCCAAGCAGTTCCACTGCCTAGGACCACAGGGAGCTGGGGAGGCCTGACTGTATCTTACATCCCAGGTCTCTTCAGCACAGTGGACAGCGGCAGTGACTCTAAACCCTCCCTCTCATTCTCCTTTCTCTTCTTTGAACTGAAAGCTGAGGTTCTGCTTCAGGTCCAGGATAAGGTCTACCATAGCAAAGGGGCTCTGAGCTGGGTCTTCCCTCCTGCCTTCCTAAGCTCTCCAGTAGGGCTCAAAGCCTGATGCTGGTCAAGGTCATTGGCAGAGTTGGGGGAAGGGCTCAGGGAAATTTCAGTTGTTTCTTTCTTCACTCTCCTTCTCTTCCTCATCTCTCTCCCCTACTATCTCCCTCTCCCTCTTCATCATCTCTCCCTCTATTCTTCTCTCCATCTTTCAATCTCCTGTTTCTTTCCTTCTCTCTCTCTCTTCTTTTCCCTATTTCACCCCACCATCACCCTCCTACCTCTATTTCCTCTACCTCTCTCCTTTTTCTTGTATCACTTCCCTTCCCCTTATTCATTCCCCCCCCCCATTCTAGCTAAACTGCTGGCTTTGTTTCCCTGGCACCTGCCTTGAGGTCTCCTGAGCCATCTGGGAGCCCTCCTCCTATGTGTACCCAGGAGACCTGCATCAGGGCTGGGAGCTGTCCTACCACTAGAATGATTAATACTTTTCAGGACAACTCAACCTGTCTGGCCCGGGTAGAATGTTTATGGAAAGCACACTGCCCCCAATCTCCCTGGAAATCTATCTTTTGGAAAAGCATATGTTAGTTATACTCTTTTTAGTTGTGAAATTAAGAGCTAGAGTAAAGACCTCTGAGATTTGGGAGCCCCTTCTTGGATCCACATCATGGGAAAAGTGAGCACCTGGGTTGAGGGGTCTCTACTTGGGACCATCCCTGCTTCCCAGGTAAAAGGAACAACATTGTATGGCATAAAACTGTCTCAGTGGGAATAAGCCTTTTTCTTTTTCTTTTTTTCTTTCTCTTTTCCAGTCATTGCATTCCCAGTGAACAGCCCAGCAAATAAAAGTGATACTAAGGTAAGGCACATAAGGGAGCTTCAGCTGTAACCTTGGGTGTAAAGCATAAAGTGGGTGTCTGGATCTCTGAATAGCAAAGGTTATAGTCAACCCTTTGGATTAGATAGAGGAAAACTGAAGACCTCCTAAAATTGTAGCTTCTTCCACTCAAATTACATGGTGAAGGAAAAGACTGGGGAGTTCTTTCTCCAATTAGCTTAACACAAATCATATTGGCCCACCCTGTGTGAATCCCATGGCTCCATCAATGTGGATGTGTAGTATCTGTGCCTGGTTTAGTCTGAACTTGTCATATATATGACTAAAATTGTTAAAGGTACAATGCTGGGGCAAGCTAGGTGGTGCAGTGGATAGAACTCTGGCCTTGGAGTCAGGAGGACTTGAGTTCAAATCCAGCCTCAGACTCTTGACACTTACTAGCTGTGTGACCCTGGGCAAGTCACTTAACCACGATTACCTCATCAAAAAGCAAAAAAAAAAAAGGTACAATGCTTCCAGTGTGTTTGAACAACTGAACTATTATGCATGTAGTCTTGTATGCGCAACTGAATTAATAGCATATACAATGAACTAGCCCAATCCAAAATTGAACTAGTACAAATGTACAGCTAAAACCAGTCATCTGTGTCATTACACTGGTGAGCTTGTATAAGTGAATTACTTGTATACAACTGGACTGAGATACTTGTGCAATTATGTTAGCACAGGTGGCCAATGGACCCAGCACACCACTGACTTAGTCTGTTTGCGCACCTGTTGTACACATGCTCTAGCTGATTGTTCCTTTCCGAACATTAACATTCCTCTCAGGATTTCTTTTCTACAATTTGAAGAAAGTACTGGGGAGAGGAAGGTGATTTTTCTAGAATAAATTCTCTATAAATTCATAAGATAAGGGGTTTAGAGCTAGAAGGGAACTTCCACCCATCCCCTATTTAAACAGATGATGAAACTGAAGCTCAGAGAGGTTGAGACTCAAGTAACAGAGCTTGAATGCATATCCTCTGATTCCAAATCCAGCACTCTTCCCATTGTTCCATGGAAACGGATGTAAAATTAACTGCAAATAGTCCCTGCTCCCAGCCTATTTTTCATTCTGGTCTCTGAAATGCTCCATTGGGGACCTAGCTTGATTTCACTCCCCAAAATGGGAGGGTGATGAGTACTTAAGTACTTGGACCATTAATCTTACTACTTCGGTGAATAAAACCCAATCTTGGGGTTACTGGACATTTGTTTCACTCTGTGGATGTTAGTCTCAAAGTCCCATTTAACTAGGAGACATAATTTCAGTGGAGCTGAGATATCCTTGAACAGACTCTGATTTCAGGAAACCACCGAAGTATACTTCTCTAACAGTGCTTTGGAGCAATTTGAAATACACACTTGTATGCATGGCTATGAGTCAGCATCAAATCAGAGTTGAGTTTGCAAACTTCATCTCATTTGCGGCCTCAATTTGGACCAATATAAATCTCCATTAGTTGCTTCTTTCCTCATTTAGTTGTTTTACAGAATGATCCATTAGGGAATTATTTGGGGGTAATAATAATAGCTGACATTTATAATGGTACTTTAGGGGTACAAAACAATTTATACACAGTGGTAGCTTGTTTGATTTTTATAGACACTGTGAAGTAGGTAATGTAAAATACTGTTATCCCCATCTTATATATGGGCAAACTGAGAGGTTGCACAGCTAATTAAGAGCAGAGCTGAAAATTGAACCCAGGTCTTCTGACTGCAGGTCCAGTGTCTTTTCAACATATCACTGCTTGGAAAGAGACAAGGATCCCTGTCTCCAAATGTACAAAAGATTTCCAAATCATTGCTCTCTCAAATTGCTTTATCACTCCTCCTTTTGATTATTTGATTTAAAGCCTACTTGCTTTTGATGGTTTGATTTGCAGCCTACTAATTTCCACCCCCTGTTGGCTATCCCTTCTCTCCAAGAGCTCCCTATACATAGAAATATAGAAGCTTAGAATTTCAGAGATAATACTTTAGAACATAGACTGTTAAACTGGAAGGGAATTTAGAGATTGTCTACATCAGGGGTCCTTAACCTGGGTTCATAGTATATTTCAGGTCTGTGAAGTTGGTTGGAGAAAGATACACACACACATGCATATCTTTATTTTCACTAACCTCTCACTGAAAGTTAACATTTATTTCAGTTTTTAAAACAATATTCTGAGAAGGGGTCCACCAGACTGACAAAGAGATCTATGATACAAGTGAGTTTAGAACCCCCGCTTAAGAGAAAACCTTTTTATGGATGAGAAACTACATTTCAGGAAGACAAAAGGCTATCTGGCCAAGGACAAAGAGTTAGTAACAGAGCTGAGACTAGAACCCAGACGTCCTGACTCATGGTGCTGTGCCTCACTGCCTGTCCAATTATGACAAACTCTACTTTCTTGGAAATTGTCCTCATCAATGAATATTTAGTAGGGCTCAAGGCGCTAGCACTTGCAATGCAAAATAACTCAAAGAAAATGAGATCCTGTTTTCAGGGAGCTCCATAAAAGAGGACACCCGGGACCCTCTTTGACAATCACTTCTGGAAAACAGACCACAATCCTATAGTCAGCTGAGCCAGTCAGTCAATAACAGCTCCTTAGGTCCCCATTATGTGTGGGACATGTTCCTAGATACCTCATAGGCTCATTAGGCTCTGGCTATGTGACAGTACTGTACTGAAGGTTGAAAATTTTATTCAACTGGTCGTATGCATGCTCCTCCAGTCAATGCAACCACTGTCTTCTTTGCCTGACTAGATATAGCCTTAGGTACCTTTAATCTCTCCTCTCTTCCCATCACTGTTGTCTACAGAAGAGAGGTGCCTCCTGCTCCCCTGTTTAACAGATCAAGCTCTGATTGCTGGAATGTCAGACTTAAGGTCAGTTACCTTTTAGATCTGACCCCTGAGCTATGATATGCCTAGAGATCCTGAATGGACAGTCTTACAGGAACAGACAATTCAGCTCACATTTCTATAGCATTGTATGGATCACAGGGATTATAGCTACAGAGCGTGAAGGGGCTTCAGAAGCCATCTACTTCAAGCTCTACCCCCTCCCATTTTACAGATGGAAAAGCTGAGGCTGAGAGATCCTGAGTGACTTTCCCAAAGTTACACTGGTAATAAGTATCAGAGGTGGGATTTGAACCTGGGTCCTATGATTCCAGAACCAGTCACTGTAAGGGAAGGGAATAAGCATTTATATAGCACCTACCATGTGCCAGGCACTGGGCTTAAGAGTTACAAATATTATCTCATTTGATCCTCACAACAACCTTTCAAAGAAGGTGCTTTTATTATCCCCATTTTACACTTTAGGAAACTGAGGCAAACAGAGTTTAAGTGACGTACCTAGGGTCATCCAGCTAGATTTGAGCTCAGGTTTTCCTGACTTCTGGCCCTGTGCTCTATCCACTGCACCACCTAGCTGCACAAAGTGGATTCTTTTCAACTACTCTAATAGGGTGATAGTACAAGTAGTATTATTTCAATATTAACTGAGATAGAGTGAGATTGAGTAACTTGCTTAAGTTGTAAGTTAGTATAAGAGCTTGGGGTCAAATCCAGGTGTTCTGACTTCCAAGTTCAGTGAGCATCATTATCATCATCATCATCATCATCATTATAAGTAGCATTTATGTAGCACTGAAAGCTTGCAAAGCACTTTCCAAACATCTCATTTTACCCCCACAACAACCCCAAGAGGTAGGTGCTATTCTTATTTCTGTTTCACAGAAGACAAAGCAAAAGGAAGTGACGTTCCTGGGGTTACACAGCTAGTAAGTGTCTGAGCCCAGATTAGAACTTGGGTCTTTGTAACTCCAGGTGCAGCCCTCTAACCTCTGTGCCAGCTAGCTACCTCTTTTCATTATACCTCACAGATCTCAAAGCCATTTGTCTCTACAATACCTTGCTGACTCTAAAACTGGACTCCAGTTCCCTGGGATTGAGTGAAGGTTTGGATAATCACTTAGATTTACAGCTGGGAGAGACCTTATAGATCATGTAGCCAAATCTCTTCATTTTGCAGAAAAGGAAACTGAGGTCCAGTGAGCTAGTAAGGTCAAGGTCATAGCAACAGAAAATGTCAGAGATGGGATTCAAACTGGAGGCCTCTGAGTCTGGAGTCAGTCCTCATTCCACTGCATCATACTGCCTCTCACATACTAGGATGTCTCCTCTTAGGTTCATCTATTGGGCTGGGAACTGAATCTATTAACATTCGTGGTCCCTTTCAGCTTTGAGAGGATCTGGAATTAGACACTGAGAACAGGAGACAATTTGGAAACAACAGGGAGGGACTTTATGGATCATGTAGCCCTACTCCCTCTTTTTACAGAGGAATTCTTTTTATAGGAAACCGAGGCTCAGAGAGCAGAAATGACTTTCCCAGAGTCTCACTGTCAGTGGATGGGAGGACTAGGGCTTGAATTCAGGTCTTTTGGTTCTGGGTGCACTGTTCTTTCCATTGCATCTTCCAGGGTAGGATACACTTGTTCGTCATGATTTCCCATATACCTGAGTTTTTACTTTCTTTGAAATCTGGCAGATTTGAATTAATTTGTTACTATTTCCCAGGGTTCTGTCAGGGGTGAGTGGTTTACTAGCTCTGGTAGTCCACCTTCATGAGCAAGTGAGAGTGTCTCAGAGGTGGTCCTTTGTTTCTAACTTTGTGGGAAGTCACCAGCCCAGCACTGCCAAATTTGGAGAGCCAACATCTGAATCTAAATCCAAGAGTATTATCCAAATAGCACCATCAGTGTCTCAAGTGCCTGACCTGCAAAATGACTGACAGCTGAGAGTGCAAATTAGTTCCCTCTCCCCATAAGAAGTAGAGTCAGAACTGCAGCCTCTTCAAGTCAGAAGGGATGCCAGAGTCCAATGCCATTTGCAACATCATCAAAGAGTGGTCATCCAACCTTGGCTTGAATTCTGTGATAACGGGGGATATCTCATGAAGCAGCCAGCTCCACTTTGAAATAGCTCTCATTATGAGGAGGGTTTTCCGTAGAGTAATCTGAAATGTGTTTCTCAGTGACTTTTACCCATTGTTCCTAATCTCCTTCCAAAAGAGAAGACCAAGGCCTGAGGAAGATAAAGAATGCTCAGAGTACCCCGATCCATCTCCCATTTTTATTTGGTCTGCTCACTCAGCACTGGGCTATTCAGATTAGATTTCTCTTCTGGAATTGTGCCAGCTTCCATAGCAGAATCTCAGCACTTTGAATTTAGTTGTACTGGAAAAAAAAATCAATGTGGTACAGAGCTTTTGGAGTTAGAGAACCTAGATTTTGATTCTGCCTCTTACGTACGACCTTGGGCAAGGCATTTAACCTCCCTAGGACTCAGTTTCCTTATCTATGATAACAAAAAAAAAAGAGCTATCATTTATATAGGACATTGAGGTTTGCAAAGAGCTCTATAAATATTATGTCATTTGGTCCTAACAACATTCCTAGGAGGTAGGTGCTGTTATTATCCCCCTTTTACAGATGAGGAAATTGAGGCAAACAGGTGAAGTGACTTGCCCAGGGCCACACAGCTAGTAAGCGAGTGCAGCTGAATTCGAACTCAGGTCTTCCAGATAACACTTTTTAGGCTAAGTATACACAATTCCTGAAACCATGAACATATTATTTTATGAACCAAACCAAACAAAACTGAGAAGGGTCCTTTCATAAAATAGGATTATTCTGAGAGCTGGAGAGGATAAAGTAAATACTCCTTAGCTATGGGGTATAAATCCATGACTAAGCCAAAATGAAAACCTTCTCTAAGTCTTTGGGTGACTTGGTCCTCCAGACAGATCCACCCCCAAATTAGTGGCATTGTTTCTTCTACTACGTCTCGGCCAGGGACCCGCTCTGATCTCTTGATAGCTCTCTCTCCATCTCCCTGTTCCCCTCCCTCCTTTCATCCCTTCCTCCCTTCCCTCTCCCCTCCCAGGTGATGAGATGCATTGTCGAGGTCATCTCCGACACACTTTCCAAACCGAGCCCGCTGCCCATCAGTGAGGACTGCTTTGAGACCCTACGAGGAGGTATCTGTGTCTCTCTGCTCTTCAGTCTGGTTAAGAGGTGGATCAGGGGTGGGGAGACGATTTTAGCATTCGTTTTTGACAAAAACCATTACCACTTTGAAGACCTTGGGTCTCTGAGTAGTTGTTTACCTAAGGCTAATGGTGCACTTTAAAGGTACTTAATACATGTTTTGAATGGATGGGTGAATAAACTTTGTGTCAGATGACTTTGGTAAGCCCCTATAAGATATTGTGCCTGGGACTGTTCTGAATGGGATCTAAGACAACATCTCACTGGGCCCTGCTGTTGAGTGTTGTGGGCAGCAGATCATAAGGAGGGAAATCTTACTCAGCTGGTGGCTGGAAGCCACCCATGACAATCATCTTTTCTTACAGATGAAAGGATCATTTCAATTCTCCGCCATCAAAACTTGCTGAAAGAGCTCCAAGAACTTGCCATCCAAGGTATTTACAGCTGTTTCATATATGATGGAGGCAAATCCCTATGGTAGGCAGAAATTGATTCTTCACATGCACAGGAGTTTGGTTTGTGTGGTTTCTAAGCAAAATAGGAAGCCAGAGATCCTTATATCCCTCCCATATGGTTATTATCTTTAAATTAGAGAAAGCTAGAACTAGAAGGACCCTTTATAATATAGAATATTTGAATAAAGAGTCACAGAATTCTAGAACATGGAATTGAGTGTCAGAACTGGAAGGCTGCATAGGACATGAAAAGTTAGAGCTACAAGGAACCTTGGAACACAGACTTAAAACACAAAATCTGAGAATGTTAGAGCTTTAAAGGAACCCTAAAAATTACCTATGCAACCATTCATTTGGCAGAAGAAGAAACTGAGGTCTAAGTAAGAGAAATGACCTACCCAAGGTTCTATGTTATTGGCAGAGCTGAGGCAAGAACCCAAGTCACATGATCATAGGTTTGGAGCTGGGAGGGGATAACACCTAGTGCAATGCCTTCATTTCACAGATGAGGAAATGAGCCTCGGAGAAGTTAACTGGTTTGCCCAAGGTCACATAGTAAGTGCGGATTCGAACCCAGGTCTTCCTGACTCCAAGTCATGTACTCTATACCTCATGCCACACTGCTGTCCAAGGTCCCAGCCTAGTGCTCTGTTACATCACCTCTGTCCTTCCAGAAGTACTTTCAGTTTAATTGTGGGGAACTCAAAGCACAAAGAGTTTCCTTCCCTTTATTACCCACAAGTTAAACTGTAGTCAGAGGGGCCCCTGCTTTCTTCCTTGACACCCCAAACCTCACTAACAGGAATGCTTGGATGTGCCCTATAAAGAGTGTGCAAGCAAGGTTCACTGACTCAGGGAAGGTTTCCTCCATGCCAGAGTGACTTACAACAGTGCTCTTGGAATAACTTCTCTCTCTCAGGTTTTTGTCTGGGGGTGAGTGAGTTACTAGCTCCTATAATGCATCTTAATGAGCAGGTGAGAATTTCTCAGAGGTGGTCCTTTGTTTCTGACTGTGTTGGAAGTCCCCGGGCAAGCACTGCCCAAAGACTATTCTGAAATCTAATTTGGAGAGCTGGCATACAAATCTAAATCCAAGACCACTACCCAAATAGCACCATCAGTGACTCATGTGACCACAAAATGACTGACAGCCAAGAGTACAAATTAGTTGCCTCTCCCAGTAAGAAGTAGACTCAGTATCACAGCCTCTCCAAGCTGAGAAGTGATTTGCCAAAGGTCATATAGTTAGTAGGACAGTATTTAAATGTGGGTCTTCTCTCCATTGTCCCATATGGCCTTTCTTTAAATTCCCCAGCTGTGGTCTGAGATATAAGGCAGAGACAAACTAATAAACATTCCAGAGGCAGTAAGATTTCATTTCCATTCATTCAACAAGCATTTATTTAGCATTTGTGCACCAGGCATACAAAACACAAACCTGAAAAAATCCCCACTCTCAAGGAGCCTCCTTATTTTTGGAAGCAGGAGGGGAGGAGGGAGGGAGGATTGCTGCCTTCATTTATCTAAAGAGCTATCATAAGGAAGAAAGATTTAACTTATTTAATTCAACCCAGGAACAATACGGACACAAATAAGTAACTTCAAGACATACACAAAACAAATTTCCAGGGGGTTGGGCACTACCAACAGTGGGGTAGGAAGGTCAGGACAGAATTCATTTAGGAGGTGGTACTAGAGTAGAAGGGCAGCTAGGGGAACAGTGCTGGGCCTGGAGTCAGGAAGACTCATCTTCTTGAGTTCAAATCCAACCTCAGCCACACCTCAGCTGCGTGAACCATGGCAAGTCACTTAACCCTGTTTGCCTCAGTTTCCTCATCCATAAAATGAGCTTGAGAAAGAAATGGCAACCCATTCCAGCATCTTTGTCAAAAAAAACCCAACAAAACCCAAATGGTGTCATGAAGAGTTGGATGTGACTGAAAAATGACCGAACAACAAGTTGAGTGGAGCCTGCGAGATAAGTATTGGACATAGAAGCTTCTGACCCATGACACAGCCAGAAAGACCTTCAATCTGTAGTTAGGTCTGCTCTGGAGGTTCATGCTACCTTGAGAATGACATCTTCTTTCTTCCTGATCCAGATGTAGGTCTCAATTAGACAAGAAGTTTCAATGGGGGTCTGCTTACCAATAAGGAATACGTGGCACTTTTTATGCATCTAGAAGTTGTGGCCTTTCTCTTGCTTAGCAGCCTAGGGACCATGGTGTTGGGTGTTCTATAGAGTGTCCTCTTCTGATCCCCAGCATATTCCATATGTTGATTACTAATCCAAGATCCTCTAATGGCAGAGGTGTCAAACATGCAGCACATGCCACCACAATGCTCCCAAATGCTGCCCAAACCAGATTAAAATGCAAATGGGAAATATTTAACCAATAAATAAAAATACGGTACAACAGAGGTAACATGACAATTTACAAGTAAGTCAATATGTGACCTACAGGAATCCTTACGGCCACAGAGGAGTGGCCCCTATTTCTATCTAAGTTGGATTCCACCGTCCTATAGGCAGCTAGCTAGCTGTGAGAGCACTAGTGTTCGAATCAGCAAGGCCTGAATTTGAATGTTGCCTCAGACGTTAGCTTTGGTGGCCCCCGAGGTCACCAAACTTGAGGTCTCTGGGAAGAACTTCATTCTGGCGGAGGCACTGGCAACCCAGGTCAATCTCTTTCCCTGGTTAAAGTGTTGGCAGATAATCCTATTTCTGAAAGACAGAAGACACTTTTCATATGACCATTTGCCCACACAGAGGTAGTTTACCAGCAGATTATTATTATTAACTTGGGTTCCACATCTTCTTTTAGAAGGAACATCCTGCCATCCTTACTGCAGCTTTCTAGCTTTGCTCAAATCATCGTTTTCAGCCCATTTTGAGGTTTTCTAGGTGGGTTGTAGGATCGCAGAATTTAGAGTTAGAAGAGATAATAATATAATGTATTACAATCATCTCATTTCATAGAAGGGGAAGCTCAGGCCCAGAGAGGTGAGGTGATTTGTTTGAAGTCACACAGTAAGCAGCAGAAATTAGACTTGAACTGAGGTCCTTGAACTCTAGATCCCACGTTCTTTCCATCATACTTCTATGCCTGCCCTCTTGCAAAGTTCTAAAGTTCCCCTCTCTGGCAAGCTTAGCTGTGAGCCAGGATTTGCCTGGGATGCAGGAACTGAGTGGTCATTTGGGGAGACCTACACTTTTGCTCTTGATCCCCTGAATGAAATGAGTACCCTGCCCAAGTACATCCTTAGCCCCAAGGGTGGGTTCTCTCTTCAGGAGTGAAGGGAATCCTGGTGGAGTAGTTTTACCTGGTCCCTGAGCCAGTCCTGGGACCAACGACTTTTGGTAACTGGTCCACCAACTCACCCTTGATGCCTCCAGAATTAGGACAAGATCAAACCTGCTCTGTCTCCTCACAACTACCACTGGGCCACAACTAAAGCCAGTTGGGATACTCTGGTTCATTCTAAGGATCAATGCCTTCCCCTTCCAGGGAATCACAGACACCATGACTGAAACCCTTGAGGTTAGTATTGGTCAAGGGGCAGCATGATGAGATGGAAAGAACTGCAGTGGAAGTCAGGAGAGGCACATTCAATACTTCATTCTGTCACTTAAGCTGCTGTGTGATCTTGGGCAAAAAACATCACCTCTCTGGGCCTCTATGTTCCTATCTATAAAATGAAGGGTTTGGATTAGATGACCTCTAAGTTACCTTCCAGCTTTAATATACTAGGCTTTCTGGGCTAACCATCTAGGTTCTAAGGCTGCCTTCACATTCTAACATTTTATATGCTAACATCTTATGTTCTTAGGTCCATTCCATTTCTAACATTTTCTTTTTAAGTTCTAACATTACTTCCAGAGCTAACATTCCATGTTCTAAAGTTTCTTCCCATGCCAGTATTCTGTGTTTCCATGAAGTTGTTTAGAAAAGGTGCTCTCTGAATCTAGCTCTCTGGTCTTTTGATGGAAGTAATTTACATATCCTGGTGTTCCTGTTTAGAGCTACATTGTCCCTAGTGTGTCCTTACTCTGGACCCTCCCTACCCAACCCCACAAATGCTGTGGCAACAGAAGTTGCTTAAAGATCGAGAATGGTTCTCTGCCCCTTCCTGGGTAACTTCCATGGGAATGTGAGTGTTTCTGACAATTCCCCAAAAGGTTTCCCAACTTCCACCCTCCTTAGCTGACTCCTCTGACTTTGGCATTGCTATTTCTGAGTCTCTTCTTGTTACCTGCCTTGACTGGGCCTCATTTCTGGCACAGCAGGCTTCACATGAAGCTCATTTCTTTTCTCTAGTCTTTCCCCATGTCCCTCTCTTAGCTCCCTCCCTACTACTGGAACTGTTTGGCTCTTTCCCTACTTAGAAGAATGGTAGGACACAGAGGGGAAAAAAGAACCCTGAACTAGGAATCGGGAAGCCTGGGATCTAGTCTTAGCATCATAAAATCTTAGGAACTTGGAACAGAAAGGGGATCTTTTGAGTCTCATATCTGTTACTAGTTTTGTGACCTCTTTTATTCAACAAGCATTTATTTTTATTTTTTTATTTTTTTGCTAGGCAATGGGGTTAAGTGACTTGCCCAGGGTCACACAGATAGTAAGTGCTATATGTCTGATGCCGGATTTGAACTCAGGTCCTCCTGAATCCAGGTCTGGTGCTCTATTCACTGCACCACCTAGCTGCCCCTTCAACAAGCATTTATTAAGCACCTACTGTGTGCTCAGCACACAGGAATAAAAGACAAAACCAAAGTAGTCCCTGCCTTCAAGGGACTGGTCAACTGAAGAGAAACCATAAGTATACAGGATAAGGAATTATTAAGAACATGCAAAGTAATTTCAGACAGGCAGGGCACTGGGAGGAGGATCAGGATGGGCTTCCTGTAGGAAGTGGCCTTGAACTGAGTCTTGAAGGAAGCCAGGGATTCTAAGACATAGAGATGAGGAGGAGCATGGTCTAGGCACTGTACACATCTTTGCAAAGGCATGGAGATGGAATGTTCCGTATAGGAAACAGAAGGGGGCCAGCTTGGCTAGAACAGAGTACATGAAGGAGTAATGCACAATAATCCTGGAGCCAGGTTATGAAGATCTGTAAACACCAAACAGAAAAACCCATCTTTTATCCTAACGGCAATAGAACTAGTGGAGCTTCCTCGGTAGAGCAGGGATGTGGCCAGGCCTGGGCTTTAAGAACTTGACATTGTCCATCAGTTGGGGAATGGCCGAACAAGTTGCGGTATGTGATTGTGATGGAATGCTATTGTGCTACAAGAAACGAATGAGCAGGATGGTTTCAGAAAAATCTGGAGAGACTTAGATGAACTGATGCAAAGTGAAGTGAGCAAAACCAGGAGAACATTGTACACAGTAACAGCAATATGGAACTGCAAACAACTTAGCTATTCTCAACAATACAGTGTTCTGAAAGACTTATGATGAAAAATGCCATCTACCTCCAGAGAGAGAACTGATGGAGCCGAGTGCAGATTGAAGCATAAGTTTTTCACTTTATTTTTCTTGCAACATGTTTTGCATGATTTCATATTTATAGCTGATTTCACATTTCCTGCCTTCTCAATGGGTGGGAGGGAGAGAATTCAGAACTCAAAATTTTTTTACATGTCAAAGGAATAGTGATAAATTTGGGATTAGAACTCAGGTCCTCTGACTCTAAATCCAGCACTCTTTCCATATCATCATACCCTTTAAGTTACATTTCTTATTCCTTATTATTATATATTCATTACATGCAATCCCTACGAGGTGGTCAAGACAAGGAATCACTGGACCCATTTTACAGATGAGAAAACTGAGGTCCATGCCTTTTCCTCCATCTCAAGTGTTAGAAAAGCTGAAACATTGTTCTTTTAGGGGCTCTGATTTTTCTTTCTCCCTTTCCCCAAACCCAGGTGCCAGTGAGAGAGCCCAGCAGCAAAAGAAAGACAGAGGCTTTGAAGATGAACTTTCTGAAGTCCTTGAGAGCCAAAATAATGAGGAGACCATTGAGAAGGGTCAGTACCAGACTAACAATTTCCCCCTTAACACACCAGGATGAGGATAAACTAAGATGTTCTTGTTGACCTCCTTGGTAGCTAAAGCGCTGCCCTCCGAGCAGCCTACATCACACTTGTAGCAGGAGTGCCCAAGGTGGCCATGTGATTTAGACCTGGATGAGTCAGCCTGAGCTGAGCAGTTTCCAAGCCCCCAGGGGAACAGGGATCATCTTTCCTGACACCAGAGAGTTTTTCCATGTCAAAGAGCTTACTGACATGGCCCAATCTGGGGCACACACGGACCTCTGTTAGGCTTTTTCCATCTTCTCCACCTGGGCAATGATAACCCCAAAACATACTTTGCCTATGTGTTGTACTTTAAATCTAAACTTACTTGGGCGCCAATGATGGCCTCCAAGGGAGATGGAAGATTATCTTGCCCTAGCTCAGGTAGATAGAGTCTACCTTCCACATATCTGATGAGGAAGTCAGGGCTAGAAGACACCACAGAGGCTTGCCAAATGTCGTGTCACTCAACTATTCAGGGGTGCAATCAGGGTCAAAGTCCAGATCTAGCTTTCTGTTTTTGTTTTGGTGAGGCAATCGGGGTGAAGTGATTTGTCCAGGGTCACACAGCTACCGTCAAGTGTCTGAGGCCAGATTTGAACTCGGGTCCTCCTGACTCTGGGGCAGATCTAGCTTTTTTTCATAACGTCTCTCTGGATGACGTTACGTAGACAATTTTTAATAATTACAATGATGATTATGATAATAATAGCATAAATAACTATACAAACAATGCATTTATGTGGTGCGTTTTTTTTTTAAGGGTGAGGATGCAAACCGATATCATAGCTGTAGGGAGCTATATAATCCAACTTCATTTTGCCAACGAATTAAGTGAGGTCCAACAAGATGAAGGATCTTGCTTGTGTGACTTTGGACAAGTCACTCAATTTCCCTGGGCCTCATCTGTCTGCTCATGTAAGATGAGGGAACTGGCCTACTTGGTCTCAAGGGTTCCCTCCAGCTCTAGATCATGGTGAAGAAAGCCCTCTAACAAAGGCCAAACAATAAATGTTCTGCAACTTAGAGGACACTGAGAAGTTAAGTGACCTGTCCAGGGTCACTTAGCCAGTATGGATTAAAGTAGGACTTAAACCCAGTCCTTCCTGACTCCAAGGGCTGCTGCCTCCACTTTAAGATTTCACCAAGTACTTTTTGTACCTTAGGCAGTTAGGTGGTGAAGTGGATAGAGGGCCAGGCCCTAGATGTGTGACCCTGGGCAAGTCACTTCACCCTGTTTGCCTCAGTTTCCTCAACTGTAAAATGATCTAGAGAAGGAAATGACCAACCATTCCAATATCTTTGCCAAAAAAACCAAATGGGGTCACCAAAAGTCAAATATGACTGAAATTATGTGCATTATCTCACCAGACCCTCCGGAGAAGCATGATGGGGCCTGGGTTGGCATCACTGGCTCTGCTTTGTGATCTTGGGCAAGGCATCTCATCTCTCTAGGCCTCAGTGGTTGTAGATGGTTTTTAAGGTCCTTCCAGCTCTGAGACTTCTAATAACATCCCATGAGGACAGGTGGCAGAGGCTCTACAAGGAAGCCTTGATGGAATTGTCCACTTGGACTCTCCAAAAGTGGAATGAACTGCCTTGAAAGATAGGGAGCTCCCCATCACTGGAGGTCTTTAAGAGAAGGCTGGACAGAGCTTTGTTGGGGATTTGTGTTTTAGGGGCCAGTGGGACTAGATTTGTTTCTAAAGTGTCTTCCAACACTAACTGGGTTTCTACGATTCTGTCATTTTAATGAAGTCCTTTTAATTAAGTGATAATATTCCTTGAACTGGATTCAAGATTAACTAGTCACATCAAAACCCTACTGAATAAAGAATAGGGTCAGAATGAGGTTGTGCATATTGTCCCCATGACATAGAGAGGTTAAATGACTTGGTTCAAGTTGGGTAGGATGTTAGTGGAGGGTCTGGGATTAGGCAGCCAGGTAGTGAAGCAGATAGCTGGATGGACCTATAGTGAGGCAGGCTCTTCTTCCTGAGTTCAAATCTGGCCTCAGATACTTTCTGTGTGACCCAGGGCAAGTCACTTAACCTGTCTGCCTCAGTTTCCTCATCTGTAAAATGAGAATAACAACAGTCTACCTCCCAGGTTGTCGTGAGATACTTGTAAAGCACGCTGCAAACCTGTAAGTGCTGTGTGAATTCTTGCTATTATTACTATTCGAACCCAAGTTGCCCAGTTTCAGTCTAGTCAATGCCATCTATTGTTGTTCATTGTTGTTGAGTCTTGTTCAGGGGGTTTTCTTGGCAAAGATACAGGAGTGTCCACTATTTTCTTTCTCCAGTGGATTAAGGCAAACAGTGGTTAAATGTCTTGTCCAGAGTCACATAGCTAATAGGGATCCGAGGTGCAATTTGAATTCAGGCCTTCCTGACTCCTGGCCCAGCTCTCTACAGAGCTATATATAGACTCCATCTCCAGTGGAGTCCATAGCATCATCTAATGGTTTAAGTGAAGGATTTAGTAATAATGGTTTTGTTTCAATTTATATGCAAATAGATGAATGTTTGGTGACTTTTGACTGTGTGGGAGCCTCCCTCCACTATAAAACAGATTAAGTAACCCATTTTCTGTTATGTGTAAATCCTAGAAAATTTTCTGAACCATGGAGAAGAAGTTAAGTGCCCAGTGGCTACGGTCACTGGTAGGAGCTCTTCTGGATTCCATAACCAGCACTCTATCCAATACAACAGGCTGCCTGTCTTCAATTCATGTATAATCCACATTGTCTACTGTCTTCGCAATCCAGGATGGCACTATCTTGTATGATTATTACTCGAGTAACCCTGGAAAGGTTAGACATTAGTGCTAGAGACCAGGAGATAGAGACTCTAACCAGACTGAAAGCTCTGAGAGCAGGACTCTGGCTTATCTAAATCTACTTTCTCCCCTACTAGCACAGCACTTCTTACACTGAGGTGCTTAATAAGTGATGAGTGAATGAATGACAGGCAGGACTACTCACAGAAGAAACAGGAAGGTTGATCTATCTGAAATTGATTTTCACTGAGTCTGCTGGGTAAACATGAGATTTGTTTTCAAGGCCTGTTTTTTTCTGTTTCTACCTTGCAGGGGAATTGAAGGATGTCTCCCCTGAGAAGTCTGATGAAGATGGCACTGAGTCTAAAGAGAAGAAGAGCCTGGAAGAAAGAGAAGCCCAGCCCAAAGAGACCAACCCCAAGGAAGCCAAGGAGGACTCTGACAGCAATGAGATCAGCAAGACCTCCGAGGAGGTGAGCTTGGAAAGTACCCTGGCCAGTGGCCTGACCAAGGAGGAGCACTTTGCCCCAAAGCCCACCGAAGATATCAACGACCAGCCCACTGATTCTCAGGAGAATCTGGACCTCAAAGAGAAGGAACAAAGTTCTAAGAGAGATGAGGAGGCAAATGGAGAGGAAGAGGAAGAGGAAGAAGCTCATCTGGCCCAAGGGGGAAATAAAGAAACATCCAATGAAGAAGGTCCCACTGGAGCATTCAGTACCAGCTCAACCCTCGATGAGAATGAGACTTCAAGGGAAGACAGTATGTATGGCAAAGCCCTTGATAAGTGCCCCATAATCCTGGATGACCACACTTCCTCTGGTAAACCCCTGGGTGTGTATTTGTCTGCCATTGGGCACAAACAGATGAATCCCTTTTCAATGAATTTGCAACTAAGATCCAGGCTCAGTTGGAAGGCTTAATGGGGAGCAGTAGAAACCAGGCTAACACGAAGGCACTCAATCAACCAGCAGACTGCGCTGTCAAAACAGAGAAAGGGACTGAAGAGGTGACTCAGGGTACTCAGTCATGTCTGACTCTCTGGGGTTTTCTTGGCAAGGACACTGCAGCGGTTTGCCACTTCTTTCTCCGGCTCATTTTACAGATGAGAAAACTGAGGCGAACAGGGTGAAGTGACTCACTCTGCATCACACAGCTAGCCAGGTGTTCCTGTCTCCAGGTCTGGTGCTCTATCCACTGTGCCACTCAGCAGCCCTAGTTGCGGCCCCTGGTCACGGAAATAAGATCCGAGTTTGAATCTACCACTAGCTATTTGATTCTGGGCAAGTCCCACGTCTGTTCTAGGCCTCAGTTTCCTCATCTGTAAAATAAGAAATACACAGAATGCATTCCCTACATCACACAACTGCTGTGAAGCCGGTGATTAGTTAACTTACAAGTCTGTACCCTGCCAAGCCACTCACTCAGAGCAGCTAAACACAGCTTCCTTTCAGGTTTGTGTTCTCTCCTCTGGGGGCCCCAGGATCAGAACCCAAGACTACCAGCTCCAAATGGTTCTGAGGCTAAAGGGGGACCACAGCAAGCCAAAGATAATCCACAAAAATCCCCCAAATCTCAAAGGACCTTAGAACTTAGAATGTTTTCTTATTTATTTTTAGGCAATTTGGGACCAAGTGACTTGCCCAGGGTCACACAGCTAGTGTGTCAAGTGTTTGGTCTGAGACCAATTTGAACTCAGGTCCTCTTGACTTCAGCGCCAGTGCTCTATCCACTGTGCCACCTAGCTGCCCCTAGAACTTGGAATGTTAGCACACAAAACGTCAAATGTTAGAGCTAGAAAAGGTCTTAGAATATAGGATGTTAAAACACAGATTGTATGTATACATGTAAGCATGTAGCTTAATAAATACGTGTTGACTGACAAAGTGTTAGTCCTGGAAGGGGCCTCAGAACATAGAATGTTAGAGCTAGAAAGGACCTTAAAATATGGAATGTTAACCCAAGAAGTGCTGACTAGGAGTCAGGAAGACCTGAGTTCAAATCCAGTCTCAAGATACTTCCTAGCTGTATGACCCTAGACAAGTCACTTTACCTCTGTCTGCCTTGGTTTCCTGATCTGCAAAATGTAGGATAATAATAGCACTCCCCTCCCACAATTGTGATGATTAAATGAGATATTTGTAAAGCATTTAGCCTGGCACATAGCAGGGGTTTAATAAATGCTTGTTTCCTTTCCTTCAAAGGATTCTCCAGGGGTCACTCTTCTTTTAAGGAAAGAGAAGACGTTATTTGTAGTTCAATAAGGTGGTAATCCTAGCGTGTCCTTTTGAATCTGCCCCAGTTAGGAACAATCCTGGTAGGTTTGGTATGTGGTGACAGCAGCTGGTTCAGTGCTAACCTCATTATTGCTCAGTGCCCACACTGGCTTCACCGCAAGGATAAACCAGCAGCAGATAAAGGACCTAGGAAAGGACTCTCTGCAGAACCTCACATGGCCAGTGGATAAGTAAGTAGGCCAGGAGGAAGATTTGCTGTTGAGACAATTTCTAATCAGGTCATTTCCTTTTGTTCTTTTCCATCAACTGCTCCAGGTCGACCAAAGGCACTGGATCTGAATGGGGAAGGGAAGGTCATGGAAGAGGAGGCTAGATCCCAGGAAGAAAAGGGGCTGAGCCGACGTTCTGAGGAGGAAGCAGCAGCCACTGAAGACATCTTCAGCCCAAGGGGCAGTAAGAGTCAGGAACTGGAGGAGGAACTCTCCAAAGAATGGGAGGACTCCAAGAGGTGGAACAAGATGGATGAGCTGGCCAGAGAGCTGACGGCTAAGAAGCGGATGGAGGAGAGCGACAGTGAGGAAGAGCCAGACCGGTCCATGAAACTCTCCTTCCGATCCCACAAGTATGACTTTGGGAGTCCCATGGGGCTGCCAAGGAGAACCTGGAAAGCTCACTCCAGAGAGGACAGCATTGAGGCAGGTTTGCCTCTCTCTGTCAGGGGTGACCCAGATGAGAAGAAGGAAGAGGAGGGAAGTGCTAATCGAAGGACAGAGGTGGGTATGCTAACAGGGAGCCGGGAATGATCTTTTGGGGGAAGAGGAAAAAAAAGGAATGTTTGAGGAAGAACAGGCAGCCGCGAGCACACAAATGCAGAAATAACCTGATGTAGATGAAGTCCACTGGATTCAGAATCAGGGTCCTGCAGGTTCAAGGTCCAGCTCCGGCAATAGCTATATGACCCAAGATCATGAAGCATAAAGAGTGATGAATTGAGAGGATTCGGGTTTGAATTCCAGTTCTACTTTGAATGTCCGTGTGATCTGGAGCATGCACATCCTCTTCTCTTGGGTCTATGGCCTCTTCAGTAAAATGAAGGGTTGGACTAAAGGACCACCACGGTCCCTTCCAGCTCTTAGGAGGGCCTTGAACGAGACAGTTCTTGGGGACTCTCCTCTTCTTTGACAGAGCTGGTTCATTCCCTGGCCAGTAAGATTTTTCCTCCCAGCCCCAAGCTAGCAACTTAAAATTTGGTTTGGGGCCTGGTCAGTGTAACCCTTAACCCCTGGGGCGGATCCAAGTCAAGAGTAGCCTCTGTCCTCCAGACACCATAGGGCTAGCAAGGACGTCAGAGGCCATTTAGTCTGATCCCTTCATTTTACAGATGGAAACTGAGGGCCAACAAAGTTGTTGATTTGCCTAAGATCACACAAGTGGTAAGTGGCAAATCTGAGATTCAAATCCATATCCTCCGACTCTAAATTCAACAATGCTATAATAATAATAATGTTTATATAACATCTACTGTGCCCCAGGCACTGTGCTAAATACTTAAAAATCTCTCATTTAATCCTTACAACCACCATGGCAAGTAGGTGCTATTGTAATTCTCATTTTATAGTTAAGAAAACTGAGACAAACAGGTTAAATGATTTGCCCAAGGTCCCGCAGCTAGTGTCTGAAGTGGTATTTGAGCCCAGAGCTCTATCCCCTGCAATGCCTAGCTGCCCCCAGCATTCTACTGCACCAATGTTGCCTAACCAGGAGGGCACAAAGTATGGGGAAGGGAGTCTGGGCTAGAATGACCCTTCCTACAGTAGGGTAAGGTTCTAAGGAAATAGGCCCTGATGAGATTTTTTTTTTTTAGTTTCAGTTTTCTACATTCACTTTTATAGGATTTTGAGTTCTAAATTTTTTCCCCCTCCCCAAGATGACATGTAATCTGATATAGGCCATACATGTACAATCATATTAAACATATTTGCAGATTAGTCATGTTGTGAAAAAAGAATCAGAGCAAAAGGGGAAAAACCACGAGAAAGAAAAAAACAAAAAGCAGTAGAAAATAGTACGCTTCAATTTGTATTCAGACTACACAGTTCTTTCTGTGGATGTGGATAGCATTTTCCATCACGAGTCTTTTCGAATTGTCTTAGATCATTGCACTGCTCAGAAGAGCTAAGTCTAACAAAGCCTGGTAAGATTCTGACCTCAATGCTTCATGGTCCTAGGGGTTGGGGTGGGAGAAAGAGCCCTACACAAGGCTCAGAAATCTGGGCGTACCCCGCCAGATTCTAACGTTTCCCAGGAGTCTCAGCTCCATTCCTTATTGGCTGTGTGACTCGAGAGTCACTCAGTCACTCAGCCTCTGGGACTTGGTTTCCTCTTATGCAAAAGGAGGTTGTTGGACTTGGCCTCTAAGGTCATTTCCAGTTCTAACCCATGAACGAGGTGGGCTCCCAGAGGGGCAGGTGGTTCTTCTAGATATTTAAGTCAGGGTATGGCTGCCTCAGCTAACAGCTCCTAAGCTCATGAAGAGCAGTTGGGACCCATCCCAGCTTTAGGCCAGGACATTCACACATTGTTGGAACAAGCTTAATCCCCAAACAAAAAAGCCTCACTCCTGGAGAGACAGCTTGCTTTAATGGATAGAAAGCTCTGGTTTAGAGGCACTGTCTCAACATTCCCAATTCTAACCTGGGTTCAAGTGCCACCTCTGACTTATACTGGCTGTGTGGACCAAGCTGAGTGACTTAGTCCCTCAGGGATCTAGACAATTCTGAAGCAATTACCTGCTTTAGTAGAGAGAGTTCCTCGTGAAGGGCTAGATGGACTAGGTTTCATCCAAAACAAATAGAACCAAAAAATGCCCCATCAGCGTGCAGAGAAGAATACTTCCCTTCAAGGCACAGCTCAAATTCTGTAGTCTAGGAAGCCTTTTCTGATTACTCCAGCCCCTACAGCCCTTGTCCTCCTGTGAACTCCTGCACCTAACAGAGGAGGTAGTGCCTTCTTAGGGCTAATTTTTTCTTGTGGGTTAGCTTCCTCTCCCCAGGCAGACTAAGCTACTGGAGCACCATGCCTGGGCAACTCAGGGAAGAGTAGATTTTTGTCTGAAGAGCCGTCCCAGGAGACAGGGCTGCACTAGACCCCTAGGGTACTGGTATAATGAAAAGAATGCTAGATTAGGAGTGGGAGAGTTTGAACTTTGAATCTCAGCTTTGCCCCTTAATCGCTGTGTGACTAAGCATGAGTTACTTCACCTCAGGCTTTAGCTTCTTCATCTGTAAAAGGAGGTTGAACTAGATGAACTCTGTGATCCCTTTCAACTCTAAAATCCTCTGATTTGGAGTTAAAAGGAGGCAGATGTTGACTTGGCATTTGAAAGAAGTTCTAATAGGGGTTACTGTTTCCAGTCGCTGAAGGTCTTCTGAGTGGCAGAACAGCCACTTGTCAGGACTGACATAAATGGGGCTCATGCTTCAGGTGTGGGTTTAATTAGATGACCTCTGAAAGCTTAGAATCCAACGCTTCCAAACTCCCCCATACCACAGGCAGACGCTTTCAAAGTCTAGTCCTGGCCTCTGAACAATTTATTTATAAACTTGGGTTTTATAGATACATTTATAAACAAGGTGAAGTGATTTGCCCAGGGTCACACAGCTAATGTCTGGAAAAGACTTTAGGGCCACCAAGGCCCCCCAGATGAAGAAACCAAAATAGAGAAGTGTAACTCTGTGCATGTTATTTAACTTCTCTAGGTCTTTCCTACTCAGAATTTTATCCCCTATACCAAAGCTGTCAAGCACATAGCTCCCAATTGCTCCTGAATTAGATTAAAATGTAATTGGGAAACATTCAGCAACATCAATAAAAATACAGTAAGATACAGATAAAACTGCATTTTGAAACTAAGTCCCTATGCCTTATGCATGGATTAGTGGCCCTGTTTTGATTTTGACACCAACGCACTACTACACAATCCTGGGCTCTTCCCCAGTGAGCTATCTGTGTTTTCAAAGAGGATCATTTCTAGGTCCCAAAGCCCCCTTAATTTGTGAAGATTAGGGCTCTTTCAACATAATAATAATAGCAGCTCATATTTCTATAATGCCTCGATGTTTACAAAGTACTTACCTTAAAGTCACTCCAAGAGAAAGGTAGTATCATGTTAACTCCATTTTTTTTTTAACTTGCCCAGGGTCACACATCCAGTTCAGTATAAACTCAATCCCAGGTCATGCCTGACTTTAGGGCTAGAGTGAGAATAAGGAGTCCTAAGACTGGTTCCATGCATAGCAAATGTGACTTGTGTGTCTACGTTTCCTCTTGCTCTGGAAATGGGGGCAAGTACCATCTGGCTGGTGAATTAGGTGTAGCTCTATGTAGAAGCTGGACTAGATGACCCCTAGAAGTTCCTTCTAGCAGCAGCATCTTACTAAAGCCTACCAGGGTTACAGAAGGGATCTAGTGGATGCACCTTACTTCCTTTTCTACTTGTGTTTTCTAGGACCAAGAGCTGGAAAGTCTAGCAGCCATTGAGGCAGAGCTGGAGAAGGTTGCCCATAAACTCCATGAGCTCCGGAGGGGCTGACTTAGGATTCTATGAAGTGCCCAGAAATTTACTCCTCACCTTGCCTTTTCATTTCCAAACTCAAATATGGATGGGCGGGGGGGGGGGGTTTGGGCAGCCAGAGAGTGCCCCCCAATGCCACTTGTGACACTGGCTAAATCTGCTTTTTCACTTCCTGAGTTTCTGTCCCCCTGTGCACTCCTTCCCCACCTCAAGGCCTTTTCATGCACTTTGTGTTGGTTTCCAGACAGTTATCATTTCAAGACAACAATGAGACAGCTTTTCTAGAATGTTTCCCCATCACTGTTATGTCCACTGAATACAACTGCAATAACTTGTTCTCTTTGGATTAAAGTCAAAGACTACTGACTTTAATATATTCTATATAAAATTTATCTAAGGAAAAATAAAACTCCAATGGGCTTCCTGCTTCTTCTTTCTCTTTAGGTTGGGGACTGCTTACCTGTGGCATGGGAAAAAGATCACTGGAATTAGAATTAGGTGGCTTAAATTCAAATCCCTTGCTTCTTGGTGTGAGAAGCTGGGAAAATCACTTCTCTAGCCCTCAACTTCCTCCTCTGTAAAACAAAGAGGGATGAATTAAATGATCTCTCTCGGGTTCTACTCTACGCCCTCATATAACTATCTTCTGCAGAACTGAGTGAAGACAGTCACACATTGTTCTGGCTCAGTATGAGCCAGAGAGATGAGGTGGCATGTTTATAACAGGTCCTGTCTTTCCAATGAGGTCTTGAGAATAGCAGCACTAGCAACTCCTGCAGAAAAAGGGGTGTCTTGGGTTGTAATTCTGAGGTTATGGGAAGAACTTTGCCTCTCAGCATCTTATCCTTGTCCATAAGATCTGGAGATTGGGCTATGATCTCCAAGTTCCTCTTTAGCTCCAGATGCTAGAACCTCCAAGTTCTTTCTGTCCCTTTTCCTACTCTAAGAGAGGGAAAATTATTTACTCAAAAACACCAAACAATTTACTAATTGGCTGAAATTGAGCCAATGATGGGAATGATGAACCATTGAGACAGGTACAGAGTGCTCAAATGGGTAAATCTCAGAATCAGTTTAGTATCCTAAGACTGAAGACACCATTCTCCTCTGGAACTGAGAGAGGGAGAGTAGGCTTGGTCACTGTGGCACTTAACTTTCTACCCAGCAAGGATCACTGGTCAGGTAATTTCAGCTTAAGATTAGGTTAGTCTAAGTGTCATCAGTAAATATGGAAGAGCTTTTGACAAGATACAATATCCATTCCTGTTAAAAAAAAATTAGAAATCATAGTATTAATGTAACTTTCTTTAAAATATTAAATAATATCTATCTAAAACCAAGAACCAACATTGGGAATAATGGGATAAGTTAGAGACCTTCCCAATAAGTTCATGGGTAAAGCAAAGATGTCTATTATCATTTTTACTATTCAATATTGTGCTAGAAATGCTAGCTATAGTAATAAGACAAAAAAAAAATCAAAGGAACACAGGCAAAGAGGAAACAAAATGATCATTTTCTAAATGATGTGATGGTTGAATGAACCCTAGAAAGTCAAATAAAAACCTAAATGAAACAACCAACAACTTTGGCAAAGTAGCACAACATAAAATAAATTCATACAAATCATCAGTATTTCTACATATTAACTATCAAAATTCAGCAGAAAGAGATGGAGAAATTTCATTTATAATATCCATGGACCACATAAAATACTTGGGAATCTATTTGCCAAAACACATACAGGAACTATATCCAACATGATTATAAAACACTTTACACAAATAAACACAAATCTAACTAATTGATAAAATATGAATTACTACTGGACAGATCAAGCCAACATAATAAAACTGGCATTACTACCTAAATTAATTTATATATTTAATACCATGTTAAGCTACCAAAGGATAGTTTAAGTGTCAATCTGGGACTGGTTTGGTTTCTTTTTCTCTTAGGAAGGATCTTGATTTTATCAATGTGGATACTCCTTCCACTGACAGGCCCCAACCCCTTTATTAACCTAATAGATGGTTTGGGGAAATTTCTGTGGCAAAAAAAAAAAATTTTAACTACCCTATAGCCTCTCTGATAACAAGCTTTTCTGAATTTGACTAGGTAGATCGAGTAACAAACAACAGGCATACAATCCAGCACTAGGATCTTACTTTGTAGAACTTGCCAAAGTTTATCCTCTACAGGCATAACCTGAGCAAACCTCTATGAGGCGGTGGGAGGGAAAGAGAGAAGGTAGTTATTAGACCAATCATATCAAGATGGTGGCAATGGTAGAACCAAGATGCCTCTGGGACTAATGCCTCCAGGCTTGGAGTTCAATTAAAAGTAGTATTTTTACTAAATAGCAGTAAAAAGTAGAAGTACTTGGGAATAAAAGCAAAATCTCCTGGACCAACTCCAAGGGTAGGAGTTGATGCCTAGGAAGGAACTCATGTCTGCACAGGACCAAGGATCTACTGTAAAATTTTCACACCTGGTTCCCAGATAAAAGAATTAGAACACTTTCACACACTTCATCTTTATGAGATGAATTTAAAGCTGGAAGGAAACTTATCAAAACTCTAATCAATTCACTTAATTGCACATAGTAATGAACAGACTGGCAAAGGGATATGCGCACAGTCATACAGGGACACGTGTAGACAAACCCATAGTGGTGGTGATCATTAAGATCTGGGTCAGAGATAAGACCTAATTCTCCTGTCTCTTTTGTCCAGATCTCTTAACATGTATCCTTGCAACGCTGTAGGGGCATAGATGAAGCAGGTGCTATTAGCCTTCAGATGCAGAAAGATACTTCTGAGGCTCAGCTACTACGTCTCCTAAGACTAAACTGGCTAAGAAGAAAAGTTGGGAATTATGAACCTTTGTGTCTAGATCTGGACTCCTGCCAGAGTTGGGCCTATTATTGATGCTTCTATCTAAGAAAGTCTCAGGAGGCAACAGAGCCCACAATGAGTACCCCTTCACCATCAACATCCTCTTCTGTTGGATACCATGTAGTTCTCCTCAACATGTGTTCTGTCTCAGCAGCAGCACTAGGAATCAAAATATTGGGGAGTAAGGGAAGAGATTCCAAAGCAAAAATTCTAATTGGCACACAGTCCCAAAGGCACTGACACCACTCTGTAGAGAGTTTCCCAAGCAAAGCTTCAGCATCCAAGTTGGGGCTTGAGAACCCAACCCAGGCTCCTAGAAGGACAAGACTGCAGCAAAGAATCACAGGCTAAAACTAGATGGAACCTTAGAACACGTCATAGCTGGAAGGGACTCAAGAGATCACCTAGTTCAACCTCCCATTTTACAGATGAGGAACCTAAGTCCAGAGAAGGTGACTGGCCTAAAGCCACATGGCCAGTTAGTGTCAGAAAGTCTTCGATGAGATACTTCAGTATTAACCACACCCATACCCTGGTGTTGTAAGGCATTTATTTCTTGGTGTGTTTCAAAGAGGATTTTTTTTTCTCCAAAACAATTATAGAAATAACAATTACAATACTTACTGTATCCATTAGTGACTGTTAAAACCAAAATCCCAGCTATCCCAGGGGGTTGGAAAATTAAAAAAACAGGACTTATTCCAAAAATAAGTGATAGTTGAATAGATGCCATAGTCTTCTTCATTATCACATGTATGAAAGCATGCAATAAACTTAAATTCCCAACAAGTTTTTGGTCTTTACAATTCATCATTTTATATATATATTATATATATATATATATATATATATATATATATATATATTTCTTAGATACATATACATATATATATGCGCATATATATGTGTATATATACATATATATGTATATGTATATATACATGAATTAAGTACAAAACAAGTTGGACTTTTGGTAATGGATGCTTGTGCACAGGAATGAAGCAAATTACATGACCACAAAACACTATCTTTTGTTTTTGTTTTTTAAAACACCATAAAGTTGGGATCACATCTTTGTCAAATCACTACTGAAGGATCTTTGTAGTTACGAAGAGTATGAGTCATGAGGGAAAGAGGGATGTGATCCCATGTAGTGCCCTGAATGGAATAGCACTGGGGAAAAGGAGATGATTAAAATTTGGGGAAAAAGTGGTCCCTAAAAGAAGTCTAATGGAGCAGTGCTAGGCTTTGTGGACCGTGGAAGGATGGAAAGGACATAGAATGGTAAGGATGGTACGGAGGAGGAGTTAGGACGAGCAAAGGGGAGGGTGTATTCATTGTTACATGCTTTTACACAGTCTTTTCACAAGGATATGTGTGAATCTGGTGGGTCTGAGGCATCTGGCTATCAAAACTGGGCAAAACTTGCAAACACCCATGTCTTTCAACAAGAACAATAAAAGGATTCTAAATGTTTGGGTTAGAATGTAAATGGAAACCAATGGCAATGAGGGAAAAGTGGAAATGGAGAAAGCTTGACCTTTATCTGAGACAGACACTTCTATGTCCCTAGACAACAGAGGCCTACTAGAGAGACTCTTCCAGGCAAGAGCTCCTGGGAATCCAGCATTCATGGGAATCCATGAGAAGCTGCCATGGATGTTGTGATCCTGGCCTTCGGTACCACTGACCAAAGAGGCTCCTTAGTTACTTGGGTTATTGCATCTCCAGATCCCCTTGGTCCGGGGAGCACTGCTTAGCTGTCTCTCGTCGATTCCCTAAGACTTAGGGGACAAAGCCCTGGCTAACCAAGGTGGATGGCTGCACGCTCTGAAACAACTTGAGGAGTTAGGTCCCAATGGAAAGTTCTACAATGAGGACTGATCGTCAACTTCTTCATTACTTAGGGAATCTTGGATTTGCTGGGAGAGTGGAGCCATTTATTCATAAAAATCAAAATGCCAGAGCTGGAAGAGCTTTTCAGACAATATAGTCCAACCTCCTCAGTTTATATTGGGAAACTGAAGCTGAGAGGTTAGCCTAAATAATCCATCTTTAATCCTACGATCTTATAAATTAAAGACAAATGACCTGTCTAACATTACAAGTCTATTACATGACAAGCCTGGGTCTCGAACCCAAGTCTCATGAATGCCAGTGTAATGCTCTTTCCACTGTGTCAGAAATTCTGGGTTTGAGAGGAAATTAGTTCTTGCCAGTGAATAAATTCACGTGACTCTGGGAGTAGAGGGCAGGAAAAATTAAAAAAATAGGGGCAGTTGAGGGGAGTAAAAGAGAGGGCTGGGGATCTGTTTGGCTACTGAGTAGCAATAAATAAACGGGCTGGCTCATTTGGAGCCAGTCCCTTTTCACACTATAGATTTAAAAGAACATTGATTTCAATACATGGTATAGATATTTTTCTAAGGACGATATGAGTTAGCTTTCATCTGCTCCCTCCTACCAGCAGTCACAGTGGGAAATGTCACTGAACACAAATGGGGGTTCCACAGACAGAAACACCATCATCTGAGGAAAGGAATTTCACCTGAAATCCTCTGGGAAACCAGTAATCAGTGGATCAGTATAAGAATTTGATATAGGGCTTCACACTTCAGACTCTTCTTGGCGAAGCAGAGATCTGATATTACCACTTCCTTCCCACAAAGCAATTCTTCCTAGGTTAAGTCTTACAATTTGCCACCCATGTGCCTGAAACCAACACCATGGCATCTCCCACTTTTATAATGTTTTGTAATGTTTCTTTTTAAAATCAATTCTTCAGGCCATCACCTCCCTGGCTGACAATTTGAGAGCAGGCATTTGCCTGGCTAGTCAAAAACCATATATAGATATATGGATAAGCCAAAGAATGCAAGCTGACTTTTCCAATTGACAAGGGTTATCGTGTCCCCTCACCCCCAAGGCTAGGGGCCAATCTGGTTTATGGTACAATTAAGGAAAAGGATGAACACAAATTAGGTTAGGCTTCCCAACAGATGCCTACCACTTCTGTTTCTAAATGCTAGTAGAAGTAAGTCTTAGCGCACCGATATCATTTAAAGCCGTATCTCCATTTATGAAATACTGCCTACAACTCATTAGGAAACCAAGAACATAAATGTTAGAAAAACATTTACAAATTAGCGCCATTTATGACTATTTAACCTTGAGAATTTGGGGATTGTTTTAGTGGAATACACAGGATGGTGAAATCATTTTCTCCAGGGAACAGTCAGAAAATAGAATCTACAATGACAAGGATAGTGGGAGCTAAGAATGAGAACCAACTATAATATTTATACAAGTTGAATCTCAGGCCAAAAAGGTCTATTTAAACCAGGCTGAGAAACTATGCTGTCCTTGTCAGATTCCCATAAACTCATTCTTTCTCCTGGATGGAAAAAAAAAAAAACAACAACCGAAAGGGCACATGTTCTTATTATTACTGATTATTACCAAAATCCTAGGAGGATAAGACTGAGGCAAAGAAGCACAGGCTAAAACTGGAAGGAACATAGTCATATCTATCTTAACTGATAAGTGGTCCTTAGTATCCTCTTCTTAGCAACACTAACCAATCTAATATGATACATTTCCTCTCCACATGACCAGGGAGTAGCCATGTTTGCAAGAAAAGATAGACCACAGAACAATCTTGTAAGTCCCTTGTAAAATGAATTTCCTCCTTCTCTTAGTTTTATAATCTCAGAATATTATGTAAATAATAGGTTCCCCAACATAAAACAATCCATTCCGCCCCCTCGCAACCAGCAGCGATTACTAGGTAGCCATACTACCCATGTCCTATAAAATGCCATGTCATTGGAAAGCAGTTACATGATTATTTCTGTGCCCTGAAAATTTGTGAGACACATTTAGAGAAATAAAAAATAAATGATATAGAATTGAAATTGGGGTGACACTAGCAGGTGTCCAGGTGTCACACTAATAAAAATCCACCTGTTTTCTATTGAGAGTGTAGGACTGGGATTTTATTTTAAAAAGGTAAAGCTATTAAAAACAAAATAAAACCAAAAAACCTTTTTCAAAAAGACTTTAGAGAATTACATAACAGAATTTTAGCAACTGTTTGTAAACAAGTATAAAATACAATTACATTTCAGTAGTTTATTTTGGAGAAACAAGGCAGTGCAAAATCGGCTAACCAAACTTTCTAAGGCAAGCCAGATTAATCCACTCTGATTCAAAAGTAGAGCTAAGAAACAGCATACAGACATTAAAACTGGAACTAACGCTCAGAAGTCATGTAAACATGGTTAGCTGGAAAGCTCTCAAGTTCCTAGGAAGCTTGACAGTTTCAATTAGGTCCATCCTCTTACCCTTCCCCCCTCCCACAAACCCCACCCCTTCCCAACTGAAATGATCATTCCCATGTGGGTTTATTCCAAGAGGGGGCAAAAAAGAAATAACCACCAAAATATTAGCTAGCATTTACCTAGCGCTTAAAGGTTTGCAAAGCACTTTTACACATTATCTCATTTGCTCCTCTCTCCCTTAACTCAGTACCATACAGAGCTTACAATGGTAGAATCTCATCCAGGATGTCCTCATTGTACATGAATCAGAAGAAGGTCCAAATATTTTTTTCTCTCCTAAAAAGCATTTATATCTTACTATTTGACTCAAAAAATAGATTTGACAAAGAAAATCATCAAAAAGTCATACGGGGAGAACATTCATATATCACCACAGATCATTACAAATCTTTGAGAATGTTTTGGAAAAATGAGATTTTTTTCCCCTTCCCACTTGAGCTTGGGGGCAGGGAAAGCATGGCCAAACAATGGTTTAGAACAGAGTGCCCCCCTGCCAGCCCACAGCAGATCTTAATGGTCCACAACACTTCAGGTCCTTACTTTGTATAAGCTACAAACTGAGAAAAGGAATTCTTCTTCTTTCTTGTGTCCCTCACCTTCCACCACCACTCCAACCCTCTACTCGGTCTCCTTGGTCTAGACAAAGTTCCAAGGTTGCAGAGGTCAGGGAGGGGGATGGGGGAAGATCACAGAAGAGAATTTAAGTATTTTGCTCGCCTGCAGTATAGTTTGGACTGGGAAACAGTGACTTACAGAGTGGTGTTAGTTTGGCTGCTCGTCAAAGTGAGAGTATTCTTCTGGGCTGTTCCTAGACCTTGTATTTGAGGGGAGAGGGACAAAAATCAACTCCTTGCCAATCAAACCTCTGACTGTGAACTTAGTGTTTAGGATTTGCAAGAACAGCTGAAAGTTAAGAAATGGCAGATGCAATAGGTTACAAGGTAGAGTTTATGGACTCTGCCCCAAATCTTTCAATGGGGTAGTGTTAACCAGGCTGTGCTCTGGTTTATGATGCACATCATCAAGATTGATGACACTGACGAACAGTATACAGCTTTGTTTTCAGGGTTTGGGGGGGGGGGACCTAAAAGAGAAAAGTCATGCCCCTCGATTATGCTAAGCTCAGGAGTTCCCCCAACTCCCTTCACTTATTTAAGATCTAGGAATGCTTTATGGAATCATAACATTTTATGGCTAGATTTAATCTTAAAAGAGAACATCCTCATCCAAAGAAAAGGAAATTTAAAGGGCCAGAAACAAAAGGTAACTTTCAAAAGGTCACACAGAAAGTTAGTGGAAGAACTGGGACTAGAACCCGGGTTCTCTCATATCTGCAGCAAACTATAAAATTGCAGAATGGTGGACCTGGCTGGGTATGTAGAGGATATCTCTGAGGGAAGCCAGAAAGACTTTCAATTGGCACTAGAGTCAACTGTCCTAGAAGCTATTCCAAAGCAGAGTGAGGAAGATTCCTTATGCCTTCCCGTTCCTTTCCTGAAATGGTCTACTCAGAGGGATACCTCCTACAGAAACCCATACCTTATAACCTCTGAAGGTCATTTTGGGTCATCTCTCTATGAATTAGGGCAGGGTAGAGAGGGCAAATGCAACCCACTCATCTCTTCTTGCCCAGTAGATGTGGTTTCGGCACACACTGCACAGGTCATTTTCCTGCTGGGATTGTGGAATAGGGCAAAAAGGGGACTGGGCCAAGGGAAGAAGAGCAGACCCCAATTAATGGTGCAGGTGGGTGATCAAAAGAGAACATAAAACCATCTATAATAACTCAAACTTCTTTTTAAATTATGACATTCACACACAATTTCAACCTTGGCCTCTCCAATTCTAGGAGGTCTGGACTTAAGACATAGAATCATACAGACTAGAAGGACCTTAGAAATTGAGCTCAACCTCCTCAATTTATAGATGAGGAATCTAAAGTCTAGACAGGTGAAATAACTTGTTAAAGGTCACACAGGTTGGCCCATGGTGGTCAATTACAATTTATAAAGGGGAAATAACCGCACATGTACACACACACACACACACACACACACACACACACACACACACACACACACACACACGAGAAACCACAAAATGAATCACCGAAAACAAAAACCAACCATCCCACACATTAAGGTCTAGTGTTGAAAACACAAGTGTGTGTAAACTTAGTAAAAGATTTGCAAATGGAAGTGGGTGAAACATCACATTTTCTCCCACTCTGATCACTGTGGTTTTTTTCCCCCTTCTTTTAAATCACTGCATCAGGAAATCAGGTTAAAAAAATAATCAATGGAAATTTGTAGTAGTAGGTGGAACTCTTCTAAGCTGCTTGCCTCATTATAGTGATTCTAGGTGGGCCCTTTGCTTGCGCCTGGTCCATAGTGCCACCAGCTATTGGGAGGATGCTTTGGTGGCCAGTGTTGCCACACAGTGCTGTTGGAAGCTGGGGGACACAGCAGTGTTGCACCCTAGTCTCTGGTGCTGTAGCTTCATCGAGCTGTTGGTCTCACTCTCCACGATCCAGGAGGAGTCTTTGCCCATCACGTTGCTGCAGCACCCTGTACTGGTGACCCGTGTCCGCTCCACCGCTAAGCCACCAGACGGGTCAGCCAGGAGCTTGTTGTGGCTGAGTGGAGTCATCTCCAGGTTCTGGCCTTGCAGGACGGTGGCTATGTGGTTCAAGAGGTCAGTGAAGAATTCAGTCACACCTTCATAGCCTGAATGAAGAAGAAAAGAGGGACGGTTTCTTTTTTTCTAGAACCACAGAGTGAGAACATTAAGAGATGGAGGCAGAATTAGAATACCAAATGTCAAAATTGGAAAAGACTTACCTTTGAGATGATCTAATCCAATCCACTCATTTTGCAGAGGTGGAAACTGAGACCCAAAGAAATTAAGTGAGCTGCTCAAAGTCACACAGCTAGAGGTGGGACTACAAACCAGAGCTCTTTCTACTACACCAATGCTCTCTCCCTCCCAATAAGCAATGTTAAGCGCTGTGAATAAGGGCTTCTTAGGGTGAGAAGAACTAGAATCTTGAACAAGACACTGTGGAGCATTACCCTCATAATGATTATCACAGCTCATGACATTTGTGTACCCCCACACCCCATTTTTCTTGCATTTTAATTAGTGCTTTTTTTCTTCAACAATCCTATGAGGAAGGCAGAGAAGAAATTAAGATACCATTTTACAGTTGAGGAAACTGAGCCTGGAGAATAAAGTAATTTGCTTTGGAATCTTCTACTCTAAAATGGATCAAATCCCACCTTCTGATGGGGAGGTGAGGGTCTTTCCTTTCTAGGCTGTACACATCCCTCCTCACCCCCAATGCTAACGTCTTTGCTTTTTACATTACATTAATATATTGTGTCCATATCTTGTATGAGTCTACATGCTTGCATGGTGTCTCTCCCATTAGAATGTGAGTTCCTTGAGGGCAGTGGCTATGTTTTTTACCTTAAAAAAAATCCCTGGTGTTCAGTACCTGGTATATAATAAGCACTTAATAAATGCTTACTGACTGACATGTAATAGAAGTATCCTAAGCTCAGGGACTGGCCCACTTTTTTGTTTGTTGGCTCTAGCACAGTACTAGGCATACAGTAGAAGGAAGAGGGTGAGAAGAAAAATACACAAGGCAGCAGAAACTAGAACTGCTAATTTAAGGATGATTTTTGAGAAGAAAAATGCCAGGAGAAGAGACATGTGAGTCAGCTACAAAACAATCTCTCTCTCTGTCTGTCTGTCTGTCTCTCTCTCTCTCACACACACACACACACACACACACACACACCACACACACACACACACACGATGCTCCCCTAAAGACATGTCCCTTATTTCCTTTTTGTGCCCAAGATCCCTGGAAGGTGAAGTCACTCAAATCCCCAATTTCTGATGTCCTAAGGAAGCCTCTTCCTTTCAACACACCAACAAATTAATTGTTCCTTCCCTGAATCTATACAAGCACTCTGTTAAGATAAACTGCTCATTTCATCCCAGGACAAGGATTTCCTAACATGGGCTTTGGTGAATGGATTTCCAAGGGCAACCAAACAGGTTAAGAATACACATTGGGAAACAATCTTATTATGTTTTCTTCTCGGAGCCAAAGTTATGCTGATTTCCAAGAAAGGGCTTTAAGGCTGAACTGGACAAGAGATGATGCCTGGATCTGTATGAACCACTCTGGATGATTCTGGTGGGAGGAATGAAAGGCAATAAATACCCAAGTTTATATCCCCCCTGAATGCTGGTTGTCTTTAAGAACTGCTATGAAGAATTTATAGATCTGTACCTCTCTAATCAAGTCTTACTTTGATGGCCTATCATTGACTGGTGGTGTCCCTGGGCTCTCTATGATTATTTCAGGGAAGTATAACCTCCAGCAGGTTCTATGAAGCAGAAAAAGCTTAAAATATGGGCCCAGGGGCAGACTGTGTTCCTGTGATCCAAGAACTAGCCTAAATGTGGGAAGGCTCATCACCAGCTGTAAAGTAACCGATTCTTTTTAGTCACTGCAACTCTTGGAGACAATCTAATAAGTCACTAAAGGGCTGCAATTTTTTCTACAAAGGGAGTACCCACACTTCATAAAATTTTTGTGATTTTGGAGGATTAGTGACATAACCCTTTAAAACACAGAACTATCTTTCACAAAATGGACCAGCTATCCCATCTGGAGAACTTTGATCCAAGTTCCGACAACCTCACCGAGCTAGACTCACAATTATCAAGAGTTAGTTGGAGTCTCTCGGTAGGATATGAACATTGCTAAATGTATACAATTGCTATTCATTCACCTGATGGTGAACTGATCTTATGTAAGTGATTAATCAAATGGGAAAGTTAAAAAAACCTGTAATTATAATTATGACCCGATAAGCTGAAAGGCTATGTCATCATATTTTAGGAGAAATATTAAGTTTAGAATATGAAAAATCCATTTATCCTTTCTAGAGATGACCTTACTACCACAGAAGAGAAATACATGCCTACAAATAATAGCTAACATTTATATAGTGCTTTAAAATTTACAAAGTGCTTTACAAATATTATCTCCTTTTACCTTCACAACACTGGGACGTAGGTTTTATCCCCATTTTACAGATGAGGGGAACTGAGGCATGTGGAGGTTAAGTCACTTGCTGAGAGTCACATAGCTAGGAAACGTCTCTCTGGGAGGACCTGAAGGAAACTCCCTCAGAGGGAGCAGACTTTGACTGGCATACTGACGGATCCTGCCTCAGAAACGAGGAAGGAAACTTGGTTGCAGGTTGTGGAATCACCACCACCACAGACGTGGCTGAAGCTTCATCGCTACCTGATGCCCATTCGGCACAACAAGCCGAACTTGTGAAATGGAAAAAGGAAAAAGTCTACGGCCTGAACTCAGCTCAAGCCTTCCGGACTCCAAGTTCAGCCCTCTACATGTACTACACTACCTAAGTATCTAGTCTCCTGTTCTTACTGGTGACCATGGGATATTTTGGGTGGAAGTTTCGATTTGTGCCTCTAAAATGGCCTTGTCACATAGAATTTGTATAATATTAATTCACATAGGTAGAGGGAATTTCTTTGCTGGATCTTCCCTATATCAGTGTGTGTGTAGATATACACACACAGACACATGTAAAATAATGCCCACATAATGGGCATGAATGCTCAAAAAGGAACAAACTACTGAATAAATGCTCTTAACATGTGAGTGTGCACATACTTCAGAAATCTGTCATTTCACCTACGTAGGCCTCTACACCTTAACAGACTGTCTCTATAAGCTTCTGCAACAAAAACAAAACAAAACAAAACAAAATGAAATTCAACACCTAATCAACACCTTCAAATCATGCATTATTTCTGCACAGAGCTGGGTTGGTCCAGTCAGTCGCTGGACCCAAACTCAAAGTCTCTGCAATACGTAAGGACTTTAGAGAGCTCATGCTATCTCATCTACCCTTTGATACGCTGGGTTCTCCATGGCACGGTGCAGGAAAGAGGGGCTACGCTGCAGATCAAATATTGTCCTCCCTACTTCATTCCCAAATAATATAGTCACAGCCTGATAAGCCTGGTTTGGCCTAGAAAGAGACTACTTGTACACATCCTGGATGATAGCATAAAATGAGGAGTAACATGTAGTTAGATCCCTACCATAAAGGCTGGGTGAACTTTTCCCTAAAAGGCAGTGAAAACATCGTCAAGACTAAGATGATTCAAGAGATTAAGATTCAAATTATTGATATTGCTTTCAGGTTGTCTAAATACAAAAGCAGCACAGCCCTGAAATAACTCAGTTATGACTTAGCAGCCTTGACTCATGGAAAAAGCATGGGCCTTGGGAGTGAGGCAACTCAGATGTCTAAAACAACCTCTCTAATCCTTAGATCATTCACGTATAAAACAGACAATGCCACCTTCTTTCTCATAAGGTGACTGTTAAGGATCAAATAAGATCAAAGGCCTTAAAAACCTTAAGGGAGGTCCATAATTGTGAGCTATTATCATATTAGCAGTCACAGGGACCTGACCACTTTGCTCCTAGGGTTGAATGAAAATGTCTCAGTCTGACTGCTGGGCACCATGTCTGAGAACAAGATCCCTTGGGCAGACTGGGTCAAAGTCAAACTAGACTGCATTATCTCTAATTCTGCTCATAGAATAGAGTGGAAGAAGAGAGGTTCCAGCATGCATATATGTATAAAACAGGGAGGAAAACCCCCCTAAGCTTAGCGTTCTGATTTACACAATGTTATGTAAATACCCTAAGAATTAAGCTGTTCCCCAGCAACAGTTGAATATGCAAAGATGAGATCCTCACTGAGTTACCACCAGCACAGAGTTGCCTTCTCTTAATGAGACCCTGTTTGTTGGTCACAGGCCTAGGTCACCAAATAGTGGCCCAGGCATGTTCTAAAAACCATTCCTATAGTCTGTGAAATCTCACAGAGCTTCGCTTTAAAGGAAAGAAGAATTTTTTCAGGAAAACCAAAAACTCTGTTGCTCACGCCTCCCAGTCCTGATACCCACCTTATTCCCACAAACTGGATCTATTTTAAAAGTCAATTAGCAAAGTCAGGCAAGGACCCAAGTGAGAAAGTGAACCAAGACGATCTGAGCCTGGGCAGCATTGTACAGGAAACGACCACCAGTTTTACATGTTTTTGTGGCTGACACCAAGATACACCTCTGGAATGTTCAAAGGCTAAACGGTACCAATAATGGATTCCCTGGAATCAAGAGCCTGGATGATCCTCCAAAAATGAACCGACCTCTGGCCTACGCTTCCACGTTAGCTCTTACCCCTAAGCTAAGAGATGAACACAGGATCATAGCTGTAACTGGAAAAGGAATCTGAGAAGCCACCTCCTTTATTTCACAGGTAAAAAAATGAGGTCCTTTACTGAGATGACCAGAGAAAGAGGTGATACGAAAGGTCTAAGGAGAGAAAAAGTTTGGACAGTGGCTGTGGAGAATGTAAAAGTCAAGAAAAATAAATAAAAGATTTTCACAACGCAGCAAGAGCCCACTTAAGTTAGATAACATGAGGAACAAATGCGATATTATGTACCAAGCGCTTTGTAAGCCTTCAAAAGGATACATAAATGTTAGTGCCATGAATGAGATATAAGAGATCTGAGAGGCAGTGATGCACAGTGGATTGTGAAGAGAGAGCTCGCCTTTGTGGCCAGAATACTAGGGTTCAAATCCAACC